AGTAGGCTGAGAACATGCAGCTGTTAAATGGTGGAGCCAGGATTTGAACCTGGTCAGTTTTTAGAATTAGTGCTTTTATGTGTTATGCTTGGCTACTTCCAGCCAATACAGATTGGATTTCTGAGAAACTCTGTGCTCTGCTGACATGGCTGTTACATTTTTCTGGCCAGGAATGCTGATGGGAGGCACAAGGTAGAGCCACCGTGATCTTATGGCCAGGAGGTGTGGCGGGTGTGGTAGAGCCTGGGACACAAGCTGCTGCACCTCCTCTGGGAGGCCTCCTTAGGTTCCTTGTTATAGGGGGACAATCACCCCTTATTTGGTTGAGCTGCTGTAGTTGGGTTTCTGCAGTTGAATGGTAAACCCTACCTGATACCCTGGCCCCATCTCCTGAAAGGGGAAATGTCACGTGGGTCACTCACAATAGAAGGTTTTTCAGGACACAGCCTGCTTCAGGCTCACATCCAATGGCGGGGCGTGACCCTTCAAGTGACCAGCTGCAGTGCTATTCATCCACACGGCAAGCTGAGAGGCTGAGAGCATCATCACAGCCTTTCCCAAGCTACTCCAAGTTAGCTATCAGTGATGGTAATGGACAAGCTCCATGAGACTTCTCTGACCTGGCCAGAAAGATGCTGGCTCCATTCTCTTTGCTGTTCTGGGTCTGAATATAAGAGGAGCATTGTATGGTGTGGGGAGGATCCATTTAAGCAAGATACAGATAATCAGAGAAAAATCAGGAAGATCAGCCAAATAGACCCTTAGCCAGGAAAACAGAATAGCTTCAAGCTTTGTCTCCTAATTACCTGGCAGGATGCCTAGCACATAGCATCACCTCCATACATTTCATTCATTCATTTGTTTCAATTTAAGGGTAGAGAAAAGAATCATGCGTGGACATGACAAACAAAACTAGTATAAAAAAGAAAGTATAAAATCTCTCTCTTGATTCTAGTTCTCTTTCTGTTGCCAAATTTTTGTGTATCTTTTCAAAAATAGCTTACAATTATCTAAGTTTAATCAGAGAAACTAGACTAGGCTATATTAATCAATAACCCAATAATAGCTACTCAAATGAACAAGAAACATAGTTTATTTCCCATTTAACCCATCCCATTACCACATGACCATTGTAAGTTGGTGGGATACTCTGATTCCCCAAATGCCAGAGGAAAAGAGAAAACTGGAGGGTCCCACAGCAGCAAGAAATACTCTAGCCTGCAAGGGACATGCTTCACTTCTGCTCAAAATTCATTGGCCAGAATGAGTCACGTGGCCCCTACCAACCACAGTGGGAACAAGATATCCAATCCAACCATGTGCTCAGAATGGGGAGATCCTGGGTGGTCTGGTGAATAGCACCGTTGATAACACACATCGTTTTGCATTTAGTTTTTGTTTTGTTTTGTATTTTGAAAACAAAGTGCTTGGAACACTGCCTGGCTCATCAGTGTTTGCTATTATCATTTTTTTACCTATATTATTTCATCTATTATAATGTATATTAAATATGAAATGTTTACCTATAGAGCCTTCTCATTCAATGGATGTCTATTCAATGAGAGGATGCAATTTCAGCCCTGTTTTTTATTTCCCCAGTGCTACAGGGGAGTAGAGAGGACGGAGAAGCTGTAGCTTAGGAACTCAGTAAATGCAACACAGATGCAGCACAGCAGACAAAGGCTAGGCCAGTTCAGGGAGAAAGATGTGTGTATTGGACTTTCTGGCAAAATTCCCACACTGCACTGAGCCTCAGGACCCGTCGCCAGCTCTGCGTTTGATGGCCTTCTGGGTCCATGTCATGATGAGCACTACTGGGCTGACTTGTGCTCTTTGCCTGGGAAAGAACAGAAGCTGGCATGCTACCAAGGCTCTCCCTGCCTCTTGGATCAAGCTCCTCCAACCATGCAGGACAACCACACTGAGCCCTTTAAAAGGCACTTGCAATGATTTAATTAAATCTGACAGATTTTTCAGGAAAAAAAAAAACCAAAAAAACAAACAAACAAAAAGCTGCTAACTGGAGACCTCAACTGTATTTCCCATATGTTTTTTTTCTGCTTCTAAAGATTAACAGCAGAATTAACTCCTTCCTTCACCCTCAGAACTATATTCAGATTGAGCATCTCAAGAGAACATCCCTTCTCTCCTTTTGAATGAACTTACTCCGTTTACTTTGCCAAAAAAGGAGAAAATATATGCAGGAGGCAATCTGTCATTGTCTGGGTAAGAGAACTTAGAATATCTCCCGGTGTCAGTGTGAACCTCTGAAGCTAACGTGCGTTCAGGCTGGTATTTGGTGGCCAAACATCTGCCACTTCAGCCTGGAATGGCCCTTGTCGTCAGAATCTAACTCTGGGGATTACACAAGGGTCTGTGAACAGGGATGTCCGAAGCCACCAGTGTGTGGTGGTGGGAGTGGCCTTGGGATAAGGCTGCCTCCGAGTTCGTGGGCCATGTCTGGAGAAGAGGTTAGTGCTGAAATGACATGGGAACTGTACCACTGCTAAGCTGGATTCAGCCTGGCTTCCACTTTCCCCCAGTGAGTGGGTTGTTATTAACAGGCTCATCTGAATGGGGAAGGAGGTGAGTAGAAAATTAGCACTGGGTGAACAACTGCATATGAAATGATCTCCCCTAGTTCCCATGTGAATTCTGAGTGTTCAGCCTGGTACTACCTACGAAAACTGTTTTGTTGAGGGATTTGACTGCAGTCATGTGACTTGTAAGCAGCAAGGCTTGAACCAGGGTCTTTGGTCATCTTGTCCAGTGTTTTCTCTACTCTGCCTGTCCACACTGTCTCTGCTTCCCCAAGGCCTTCTCAACACCCAAGGCATTTTCTTCTTTTTTTTTTTTTTTAGACAGAGTTTTGCTCGTTACCCAGGCTGGTAACGAGCAATGGCGAGATCTCGGCTCACCGCAACCTCTGCCTTCTGGGAACAGGCAATTCTCCTGCCTCAGCCTCCTGAGTAGCTGGGATTACAGGCACGTGCCACCATGCCCAGCTAATTTTTTGTATTTTTAGTAGAGATGGGGTTTCACCATGTTGACCAGGATGGTCTTGATCTCTTGACCTCATGATCCACCCCCCTCGGCCTCCCAAAGTTCTGGGATTACAGGTGTGAGCCACCGCACCTGGCCCAACTCAGGGCATTTTCATACGGCCCTGATGTCTCTGCTATGGTAGCTTTGCGTGATCTGCTCTTCCGTAAGAATTCTTCCCATTTCGTCCACTGTTTCTCCACTACCAACCCCTGAAACTTACCTGTCCAGGACCAAATTCTCCCAGGACCTTGTTTTCTAAATCTAAGGGAATGGTCAGGATTTTAATGCTCCAAACTGGTGCTTTTCACTGGGCAGAAGAGAGGCACTGCACTTGCGCCCTAGTGGGAAAGATTAGAATTCCCCGGGTGTCGGGGAGAGAGGTGCAGATTGAAGAAACTGTCCAAACAATATTACTCTGCTGTTGGTCAGTATGACATTCTATTTACCTTGAAATGCCAAATAACTCGAAAGGAGGCCATGAGATTTTTATGTTTGTCAAAAGAGGACTTTCATTTGGAAATACTGGAAAATGCTGATATAACTACCATGAAGATTTGTGTGGTTCTGATTGGTGTCTATATTTAAAGGAGCCTTGGAGACATGGGCTAAAAATCTCAAAATAAGCCTCTAAAACAGGCTCTCTGTCTCCACTGGGGACAGTCTTTCATCCCCAGAGTGGCTCTCCTCTCCTTTCCAGTCACACTTTATGGACACGCAGGTCTTCAGATGGAGGTGTGTAAGCTCCCGCTTTCTCACCAACAGCCTGCAAAGACTTTACAAGTGTCAGGAGGGCCACTTCCACAAATGTGGCATGGCCTCTCATCTTTTATCCTCTCTCTTCATGGGAATTTTCAGAGCCAAAAGATCCCAGTGGTGGCAGCAGGTTGAAAAACTGGTGAGAATCAAGAAAGGCTCAGAAAATATTCTGAACGAAATGTCTGTGTTCCAGGTTGATATTGAGAAACACGTGGTTCCTCCCATGCTTATTTCCCTGGGACCTTCTTCCCATTCCTGCATTGAGAGAGGAGACACCGAAGGCCTCAAGGATGAGGCGGCCCAGGAGCCAGAAGACAAAGGCACCTAGTTCCTAGCTTTTAAAACCAACAAACGAAAAACTGCTGTCCATACCTAAGGGAAGAACATTTGGTAGGATGACAGTATTTTCCCCACCTGAGAGTTTAAAATACCTTTGGGTTGTAAGAGAAAGGAGAATTGGAAATGAAGTGTGAGTGTGTGTGTGCACGCGCACGTGTGTGTGTGAGAGAGAAAGAGAGAGAAAAGGAAGGAGAGGGGTGGTAATTCTAAGATATACTTCAAGGATGGGACTATTTTATGAGTTGAACTCTCTCCCAAAAAGATGTGTTGAAGTCCTAACTCCCAGTGCAAGTGATTGTGACCTTATTTAGAAATAGGTCTTGCCGATGTAACCAAGTTAAGATGAGGGCATGCTGGATGCGGGTGGAACCTCACCCAATGATTGGCGTTCCTATAAGAAGAGTAGGCTTGGACACAGAGAAACAGATACAGGGGAAAAGCCCAAATGAAGACAAAAGCAAAGATTGAAATGGTACATTTCTAAGTCCCAAAACCCCAAGAATTGCCACAATCACCAGAAGCTAGAAGCAGCGAGCAAAGATCCTCTTCTAGAAAGTTCAGAGAGCACGTGGCTCTGCTGACACCTTGATTTCAGACTTTTAGCCTCCAGAACTGGATGAATTTCTGCTGCTATGGTCTCCCTGTTGCTGACAATTTGTTACAGCAGCCCTAGGACACTAATACAGGCTGGTTCTCTGAAACAACATCATTCTCACAGGATTTTCAGGATCTGAGAGTAGAGAGAAGCCTGGGGCATTATCCATGTACCATGATGGCATGGGGGTGATAAAGAAGAGTGGACTGTCAGGGTCAGCAAGGGTGTGGGAAGGAAGACACATTTCCCCTGTGCTCAAGAGGGGAGTCAGCAGAGAGAACAGGCACTGGCTCATAGACACGGTAGGGTTTGCATCAGCTGAGCCCCTGGTCTGGGGAGCAGAGAGAAATACAGACACATCAGCAGATGCCTACGTGGGCAGATACCACTCACAAGGATTGGAGGGGGGGCTCGTAAATAACATCCCTGTCCAGAAATAATTGAGAGAGAGAGAAGTTGGGCTGTCTTAAATCCAAGCACCATCTGTATAGGAGAAAAGTGAGATGGGAGGATGTGGCTGAATTCAGTGGAAACCGTGGACCTACTAACAGGTACTGCATGCCAGGGTTCCATGGACTAATGTATCCACCGAAGTACAAGCCCATTGCAGCCCTTTCTTAGCAGGGGTGGAGGGGTGTGGGTGCTTTCTGCAGACAGATCTTAAAGAAAGGGAAACAGAAAAACAAGCCTAGCTCCTCTTAGCTAAGTCACGAATGCATGAGGAGAAGGGCCTGGAGTGAGATTCAATAAATATTTCTGCATTGAGAAACAAGGACTGGGGAATACGAATTCTTTCTTTCTGCCTACCAGGAACTAATGATCCTGCATGGAGATCCCTGAACTATGATGTTACTCCTGGGAAAAAGGGAGGGGACAGGAAATTCCGAACTGTGTTTAAACCTGAAGTGCTAAGATTTCCCAGTATTGGCTAAGATGACGTTTTCTGCCTTCAAGCAGAGTGGGCTTCAAATAGAATTTCAGTTGTGTTGTAGTAAAATCAAGATTCATCTTGTGCAAACCTGTGTTTTGCAAACTGGGTTCAGACTTGCTGCATATGCAATAGAGAGCTATATGGGGGATACTGGGTGGACAGCTGTTCACAAACCCTGCCCTCCCAGATGTGCTAGCCACTTAGCCATTGGTGAAATTACGATACACATGTGGCAACGGTCACGCTGTGGTTCCTGGAGCCCTCCCGGCCCAGGGCTTTCCTTTGCCTGGGTGCCACAGTGGAGATGCTGATGTGCGTGATGGGAAGCGGAGAGGTTATCCTCCCGGGTATTAGTGATACTGGAGGAAGTGTGCACATGGCAAAAGCACTCTGCTGATGGATGCCAACAGCAGCTGAGAGGAGTGCGAGTTCCTAAATATATCACCTTATCTTTATGAATAATGCAAACAGGTCAGGGTAGGAGTTGAGACTTACTTAAGGTTATGTGGTTGTCCAGAGGTCAAGCTGAGATTTGAATTCAGGTCTCTGTATGCCCAGAAGGACCAAGAAGCCTTGTAGACAAGAAGCTTCTTAAGAGCAGGGCTGTTCTGCATTTGTTTCTTTACAATTCCCATATACCCCCTGCCTCAGTGCTAGCATAGGTGGAAGCTGCCTAGTTGTAAATAATGTTAATGCACCCAGAAACCTCTTTTTCCAGAAGCAGCTGGCAAGCAGCCTTTTATAGTAGGGGCCTCGGCAGAAAATCATAGAGGTTTGTGTCCACTCATATTTCTAACTCCATTGGGAACTTTGATTCTGCTGTTCTTCAGTCTCTCCTCTTGGTACACAGCAGTGTCTCTATCACCTGCTCCACATGGGCGCATAGACATTTAGGAAGCCTCTGCTGCTCTTGCTGGCCCCACTCCTCTATGCTCGCCCTCCTGTCCTCCACCTCGAGGTGCTGACCTAGAAAGGGAAATCATCTTTTTGGGTTTCCCATGCCAGGCAGAACATATGATGCAAGAACTAGATGAGGGCTGTAATCATTTGCAAAAGTGACAATTTCTTCCCTCCAGAAAGACACAAAGAGACTAATAGAGTGTTTTTTCTTCCTTGGCCCTTGAAATAAACTCTGGCTTCTGGGTACATTTATTTGGTTTGTACCAGGAACCTGGTTAAACGTACACTTTGTTTATGCTTCTGATACATTTTAATTATCGTTTATGGAGGGCTTGCTTTGTGCTAGATCCTCATGGTGCCAAAGAGCTGAACAGTCTTGGTCTGAGTCCCACCTGGAAACTTGAGGGGAAGCCTTCTGCATGCAGAATCCCTTCTCCATTTGCCCGTTCCCCACTCCTCCCTTCACAGAGCAGCACACGGGGCCATGGCAGGTACCAGAGAAGAGAGAAACAGCCGCCCAGAGTCCATGTCATGTGGGGATTCCCGGTGCGAGCTCTATAGCTGCATCTATTATTGGCCCCCAAAAGGATTTAAAAAAAGATTAATGGCACTCTGGCTAAAAAAAAAAAAAAAGTACATAATTTCATGGATGGCTTTTCCCAAACTGAGCAAAGGGATCAGACTCCAAAAGCAAGATGAATCTCAAACAGATGGATTTTGTCCAAAAACATTTCCATCAGCTTCTGGTTAATAGCATTTACCCAAGGGAATAAGAAGGAACAAATATTTTAATTTTTTTCTAGATTCTTTATGCATAGCCTTTTTATTGCTATTTGGATAAAATCATACTATGTATTCCAAATGTCATGTTCTGTTTTTATTCCTTAGTTATGCATTTGTGAGCACTTTCCACATTTACCAGTCTTCATAACTACCTTTTAAAAGCCAACCGTAGGATTATTAGGTTGTCTTCAATTTTTCATGAAGATAAATACAGTGATTACACACAGCTTTGTGCATAGAGTTCTTCTCTCTCTAAATGTGCCTTTTAATTCTGTGTCGGTGGATTTTTTGATATCCAGGAGTATTACATTTTAGTTTGTCACATCCATCAATCTAGACTCCTGTAATTTCTACTCTTGATGCCTATTAGTGCTACTGCAAGGGTTCCAAAACCACCTGAGCACAGAGGCCAGTGGAAGCGGTGGCCCAGCTCATTGTAGGTTACCTGGTGATTGGTTATGGAAGCCATCTTGAACACAGTGTATTTTCTGGCAGAAGCTCCTGTATAGGTCTCGAATGTGCCTGTTTCTTATCTTGACTTTCAGATATCTTGGGGAGTTGGGCATGATCTGTCAGAAAATAAGCTACTGAAGTTTTTCCTTCCATCTCTTTGCTCTTGGGCTCTGGTGGAGAACCCACCCACTTTCAGACTGTCTCTCTGCTGGCTTTCCATCGCTTTTTTCCTTTTTGTGCGTTGTGTTCAGTGTCCTCCTGAATCACAAAATAACATCTCACTCTGCTTATCCCTGCATCTTCTTTTTGCCTTTAGGCAATGCTCTTCTTCTTCAGCTCCCTTGATGCACTCACTCTCCAAGGTGTTCTTTGTAGTGGGAGATTTTAGGGGCATTGGGCAGGTGAATGTTTTTATTCTGGCATGTGTTGGGGACATTGCTGCAGATACTGCATAGGTGCCAGGTCATTTGCTAGGGTCCCGTTCTCTCAATCTCCAGCTCAGATAACTGCCATGTTGTGTTTCCTGTGGGAAGCATTCCTTTAGGTTGCATCTCAGAGGGCTGGGGTACAGCTGATGGTCACCATCTTGCTTACAATTCTCTGGATCCCTGATAATGGGGGATAAAATCCCTGACCCTCCAGGTCGGACCCTGTGCCTTTGGTGGGTGAGGATGTTTCTCACCCCAGCAAGTTCACTCTGCTTTTGGAAGGCCAGCCTGTGGCCCTGTGCTTTGTGTTCAGTGTCCTCCTGAATCACAAAAACCTCATGAGGTGCCTGTTGAGAGGAGACTCCTGGAACCTGAGATGGTGCTTTCCAGGAAGCAGAGTGCCGGGGTGCCCTATTGTGGCAGCCAGCCCCAGAGGCTGACACTCCAGGGCAGAGGTAGATTGGAAATCAGGAGAGCTCTGGCTGGGGGGACCGGCTGTTTGGTGAAGAATGTCTGGGAAGACTTGGTTCATCCATTGTGAGCAGGGATATGCACCTTCTCTGCCAAGTGGAGGGCACCATGATTCAGGAAGAGAACCAGAGTGCTGGCTTTGGAGCCAAACAGATGTGAGAGTGAACAGGCTGTCTTGCCTACTGACTCCATGACCATGGGCGAGTCATTGAACCTCCCTGAACTTCCTTACCATCTGCAAATGGGGATGATCACATCCACCTGTACTTGTCACAAGGATTAAGACAGAATAACATGGTAATGTGCCTAACCCCATGCCTGACATTTGGTGGGCACTCAGTTAACGGTTAGTTCCCCTTCTCCACTTTGAATGGGGGCTCTAGTTAAACTGAGTTCTATTCAGCAAGCATTTACTGCCATTCTACTGTGTGATGTGCATGTGCAGTTACTGGGAATACAAAAAGGAATCCAATGAAAAATGTCCTTGTCCTCAGGAAGTTCACAATCTAGGAGGAGAAATAGACAAGTGAAGGTAATGACAGTACACAGAGAGTGGCAACAATAGTTGTTTCACAGGACAAAGTTTACGGGACACAGTATTACAACATAAAGAGGTTCTCCAGAGAGGGATATTTTGTTTCTCCTCTCTAGGCATGAATAATCAATAGGTGCCATTTGAGAGGTGAAAGGAGCCTCCCAGGTGGACCAGGGGAAAAGGACATTCAGACAAAGACCTGGAATCTGAGTTACTGTATTGGGGGAAAGGCTTTATTAATGGAAAAATACAGTATTTTCTCTAATCCACCTTTAAGGCACCTGAAGACTTTCCAGTGGGAGTCACTGGGGAATTGATGTCTAGTTATCCAGGAGGGAGACAAGAACATCCACTTTTTACTTGACTAGTTCAATATACTGGCCAAGGCCACTGAACAGTGCAAATGGCTAACCTCTCTAAGACTTGGCTCTGTCACCCAGAAAATGGGGTAATGACATTACTTGGAGATTAAATGGGATAATGTGTGCCACGTGCCCAGCGGAGAGCCCTGGCACCTGTAAGTGCTCTTGTACAAGTTATCTCTGACTTCTGGAGAGGCAGGAGGGAGGAGGCGAATGCCCGTACTTTCATATCTCTTCCTTGTCCTCTAACTAGGTTTACCATGAGAGATAAGAATTGGCTCCAGCTTTGACTTGAAAGACCTTATTAATGGAAAAATCTGTCCTGGCTGCCAAATGCGAGACCTTTGGGGATTGAGGGCTTTTTCTCTTTCTTCCCTAAGGCCTAGTGTGAGCCTCTTCAGCCTGCATTTGGGGTTTGTAATGGCAAAGATGCACCCTGAAGTCCATTGCTAACAGGATTGAGGAGAAAGATCTCAGTGACACACAGGTCGCTGGAAGCCTGGTGTGGACGAGGCAGTGGGTGGCTGTGTAAGTCCTTTGATTGGATTAGGAGTGACATCAAACCTATGTGTGTGTCAGTTTAATCACTGTTTTTATTATAACAACTCTAATGGAAAATTTAAAGACTAAAATACATTGCTTCTAATCCCACAACTCTCTGAAATTGATTTCATTTTATAAACTGCTTTTCTGCCCTTGTCTATTTGCATATATGTATGCAAACACATACATAAATCTGCATATCCATGTGCACAGTTTTACTTTTAGTTGACCTACAAAATATATTTTGGTTTTCAAGGTTAACATTAGAATATAGATCTCTAATGTTACATATTTTTCATAATTTTCATTTTAATAAGCATAAGCCATTTCTTCAAGATGGGAGATTATATTTTGCTCAACTGCTTCTTTTACTTTGCAGACTTTAGGGTGTTTTCATTTTTCTTAATGTTATAAGCAAACAGTAAATATAGATGTGCATATAACCTTTTTAGAAACCATTGCCTTCAGGAAAATTCCCAGGAGTGAGATTTCTGGGAAGCAGCAATGTGTTAAAATGCTGGCTCTGGAATCAGGCAGATGTAAATTCAAATCCCAGTTCCACTGTTTACCAGGAGCATCACTCTAGCTGTGTCACTTAACTTCATCCTTCATCTGATGGTGCATATCAGTCAGATAGTGGTGCCTAACAAGCAAACACAAAATATAAGTGGCATGCAACCATAGGCATTTGTTGGCTTATACATCTGCGCGCTGGCTGGGGTTGGGCTGATCTAGACTGGACTCTATTCAGTGACCCTGCTTCTTGCTGCAGGTCTGTGGGTTAGTTGTAATGCTTCTGTATCATTTGTCTCTCATCCTCCTCCTGGTTGCAGGCATATTCTCATGCTACTGCACATACACAGGAAAATAAGCCCATGTGCACAAGCATTTTTCAAGTCTCTGGTCATATCACATCTGGTAACATTTCCACTGGCTGAAGCAAGTCGTGTGGCCAAACAAAAAGTGGTGGGGTAGGAAAATCAGTTCTGATCCTTTGGTGGAAAGAACTTCAGGTATGAGTCAAAGGAATGGAAACAGGAGGAAGTTAAGAATTGGGGAACACTAATGTGATCTACCAGAGGGCACCTGCAAAGTCGTTGTGAAGATAAAACGATTTTCAATGGTAAATATTACCTTCAAGAGAGGAGGGGTTCATTTCTGTTTTTTTTTTTTTTTTCCCTCCATTTCTTCCCTAAGCTTCTTCTGGTTCTTGGTACACAATAAATATTGGTAAATTAGTTTTGCTATTGCATAGAGTTGGCTGTTATTATTATTTGTCTTAAGGATAAAGGACCCTAATCTTACACCCTACTGCCTGCCATATGTGGTTACACCCCACTTTTCTGTGTTCTACCAACACTTTGGCCAAAACTATACTGGCATTTATCACATTCTATCCTACTTAATACGTTCAACATCTGCCTCTTCTACTAACTATGCTGCAGAAGAGCAGGGGCTGTGGCTTACTCATCTCTGCTGACCCAGTGCCTGGCACAATACCATGTTCCTAAGTGCTGGGATGAAGAAATAAATCAGCACTCTCAATATTTAAGTCTTCCTTTGCTTTCCTCATCTTGGTCATGTTTACCTTCTTGAACACAGAGAACATGACAATACAAGTTATTTTAATGCCCTTGCCTTTTATTTCTATAATCTCCATGATTTCCAGGACTGACTTTCTCGATTGATTTTTCCTATGGCTATAGGTCATGTTTGCCTGCTTCTCAGGTTTTTTTATATTTTTATTTTTTGCAGGGTCAGGCTGTGTCACCCAGCCTGGAGTGCAGTGGTGGAATCACAACTCACTGCACCCTCAACCTTTTTGAGCTCACGCCATCCTCCTATCCCAGCCTTCCGAGTAGCTTGGACTACAGGCATGCACCACCACACCTGGCTGTCTGGTAAGTTTTTATTGGATGCTGGATATTGTGATTTTTATGCAGTTGCTTGCTGGAGTTGTTGTATTCCTTCAAACAGTGTTGAATTTTGTTTTGGCATGGAGTTAAATGCTTTGGAATCTACTCAGTCCTTTGGGGCTTGCTTTTAAATTTTGTTGGGTCTGGTCCAGGGAAGCCTTTATTCTAGGTCCAATTTGCCCCCACTATTATGTCCATGCATTTCTAAGGATTTTCCTCATTATCACATGTATTAAATGCTCTTCCACTCTGGCTAGTGGGAACACAAACATATCCAGCACTGTGTAAGCCGTGGGATATGCTCTGAGTGCTCCTTTCTGATGATTCTTTCTCCAGTCCCAGTACTTTCCCCTCAAGTATGTGTACACCAGTAATCAGCCAGGCCCAGGATGCTTTCTGGGTAGGCTTGGGCTTCCTCCCCATAATTCCAGCAGCCCTGCCCTCACTGGATCCTCTGCTCCGTCTCCTCACCTCAGGGAGACCTCCTGACTCTATGTGGGCTTCCCCTCCCTGTGCCACCTAGAACATTTTCTAGGCACCACCACAACTGGGCTGTCTGCTATGTTTTTATTGGATGCTGGATATTGTGATTTTTATGCTGTTGCTTGCTGGATTTTGTGGTATTCCTTCAAATAGTATTCAATTTTGTTTTGGTGTACGGTTAAATTATTTGGAATCTACTCAGTCCTTTGGGACTTGCTTTTAAATTTTGTTACGTCTGGTCCAGGGAAGCCTTTATTCTAGGGCCAGTTCACTCTTTGCAGTGACCTGGGTAACAGAGGAAGACTTAGAAAATGCCTCCAGCAGTAATCTGGGCAACCGTAGGGTTAGCCTCAGTTGTTTCTTTCTCTCAGAGATGACAGTCCTTAGCTGTTGGATGCCAACGAGTGTTGTTTTTGTTATATTTGTCTGGTTTTCTAGTTGTGTGAGTAGGATCAGTCTACTTCTTATTATTCAGCAGCGGCTGGAATTGGGTATAACTTTGGCTGTTGCTCTATTTTGGGGTGGTTTTAGCTTGAAAGAGAGCTCTGCTCTTACCTGGTCAGGCCCTTGATACCACCAGCTTTGTATCTCTCTGAGACTGTAGGCCAGGGTTTCTTAAGCTGGATACCACTGAAATTCTGGGCCAGAAAGTTCTTTGTTGTGAGGAGTGGTCTTGTGAACTTAGAACATTTAGCAACATCTGTGGCCTCTACCCATTAGATGCCAATAGCACAACCCCCACCCATGTGACAATCAAAGTATCCCCAGACATTGTCAAATGTCCCCTGGGTGCCTAAATCATCTTAAGTTAAGAACCACTGGACGGCTGGGCATGGTGGCTCAAGCCTGTAATCCCAGCACTTTGGGAGGCCGAGGCGGGTGGATCACGAGGTCAAGACATCGAGACCATCCTGGTCAACATGGTGAAACCCCATCTCTACTAAGATATATTAAAAAAAAAAAATTAGCTGGGCATGGTGTCGTACACCTCTAATCCCAGCTACTCAGGAGGTTAAGGCAGGAGAATTGCCTGAACCCAGGAGGCGGAGGTTGCGGTGAGACGAGATTGTGCCATTGCACTCCAGCCTGGGTAACAAAAGCGAAACTCCATCTCAAAAAAAAAAAAAAAAAGAACCACTGGACTAGGCTCTCCAGTAGGTGGCAGAGCCCTCACTTACACATTCCCTGTGGCAGAGGCCTTTCTAGTCTCTGGAATCATATACACAGATGTGCTCTTTCAGCCAAGTGTTCACCTCACCAGGAAGATGTCTCATTGGTCAACATCGCCAGTGATTTTAGGACTTTAAATGGCTTTTGTTCCCATGACTTAACATAGGAGGAAGACCTTGAACCTGAAAAGTGAAATCATCACTTAGATGTCAGTGCAAGGTGGGAGGCAAATGATGGGAAGGGTTAATTTTCTCAGTTGAAATGTCTTCTGCTGGGCACCTCATAATGGAAGCATCGATACATACCATGGAGATGGAATTCTCAGTGCTTTTTACATTCTTTGTGATAACAACACAGTGATTGAGAACTGATCCTGTAATTTGTATCTGGAAAATATGCCATTAGTGCTAAGAAAAACAGATTTATCACACCAGTCCTCTTTTAAAATTGATCAATGTTTGGGAGGCTGAGGCAGGCGGATCATGAGATCAAGAGATTGAGAGCATCCTGGCCAACATAGTGAAACCCCGTCTCTACTAAAAATACAAAAATTAGCTGGGCGTGGTGGTGCACACCTGTAGTCCCATCCACTCAGGAGGCTGAGGCAGGAGGATCACTTGAATCCATGAGGTGGAGGTTGCAGTGAACCGAAATCGTGCCACTGCACTCCAGCCTGGAGACAGAGTGAGACTCTGTCTCAAAAAGAAAAAGAAGAAAAAAGCATCAATAGATAGATTGCCATAAACATGAGGACAAATAGGAATATTGCCACCAGTTAATAAAACTCGAGGAACATCAACCGTTACTAAGTAGAAACTGAAATCTTAATGAGCAGCCTCATGCATGTTTCTGTGTCTTTATTAGATTGTTTCTTCTTTGCATTTGAAAAATTACACAATCTCTTTTTATTGAGAAAATTAGAAAGTCTAAATAAAAAGAAAAGGACCAGAAAAAACCACTAGAGATAACTCTATGACTGCCGTGGTGTACACCCTTACATATAACGTTTCCTTCTTTCCTTCCCTGGACCCTTGTTTGTATACCTATCCCAGTATATCTTTTTTAAACAAATTGAGATCATGCTGTTATAAGCTCTTGTAACCTGCTTTTTAAATATATAACATTATGTCATGCACATAGTATTTCATTGAATGAATGAACCATACTTTAATCAATCTGCAATTGCTAGTGCTCATTCGTGTTCTGAATTTTATCTTTATAAGCAAGTCTGTGATGGACACTTATTGATATACATCCCTATGTGCTTTTCTAACTATTTTTTATGGATACCCAAGTCTGATCTCTGTTTATTCCCGGAATAAGGACCACTAGAAGGCATACTGCTTTTAAAATGGGTTCTGAATTAGTGTCATGAGAAGCATCTCTTAGTGATGGTCACAAAGGAAGTTTGTGAAGGTGGCCCAAGTGCCAGGAAACTCTGAGAAGCTCCCTTTGCCTCGGGACACCAGCAATGATGTACTTAAATCCTGTATTCCAAAGCAAGTTTTCAGCTTTGTCTTCAGTTTGTTTGTTATGAAAGTAATACACGGGAATTTCAAAAAATGGAAAGCAGAAAATACAAGAGTCACTCACTGTATTCACTTTCTATTGCTGTGTAACAAATTACCCCAGACTTAGCTTAAAACAGGCTGCATGTACTGTCTCACACTTGTAATCCCAGCACTTTGGTAGGTCGAGATGGGAGGATTGCTAGAGCCCAGGAGTTCAAGACTGGCCTGAGCAACATGATGAAACCCCAATCTCTGTATAAAATAAAAAAATAAAAAATAAAATAGCTGGGTGTGGTGAGGTGCACCTGTGCTTCCGGCTACTTGGGAAGCTGTGGCAGGAGGATCGTATGAGCCCAGAAAATTGAGGCTGCAGTGAGCTGTGTTCATACCACTGCACCCAAGCCTGGCAAACAGAGTAAGACCCTGTCTCAAAAAAAACAAACCAAAACAAAATTTAAAAAACCTTTAGCTTAAGACAATACACATTGGCTATCTCCGTTTCTGTGTCAGGAGTCTAGGCACAGTGTGGCTGAATCCTTTGCTCAGTCTCGCTCATACTTTATTCCAGGCTTGCAAGAGCTCCCTGGCTTCTTTCATTTCCCATTGCTAGACCCCTTCTAAGCATTCACCTGGTTAGGTCTGATCTGCCCAGGATAATCTTCCTTTTGATGAACTCAGCTGATTACAGGTCTGAATTACATGTGCAAAAGTCCCTTTGCCATATGATATAACATAAGCATAGAATGATATCCCATCATATTTACAGGCCCTACCCACCCTCAAGAGAAGGGGAATTGACAGGAAATGTACACAGGTGGTGGGAATCGTGGGTGTCACCTTAGAGCATAGTGCTGATAGCCTAAGAAAACCAGCCTTGATATTTTGGTCATTGTTCCAGATTTTTGTCACCCCTCTGTTTAGGTATTTTTTTTAAAAGTTGTATTTATAGTGTTCAACATCATTAAATTATTTATTCTCTTCATGTTAATTTACCAATGCAACATTTTGGTAAGCATCATTTGAAAGTTTGGGTTGATATTTGTTATGGCATGGTGTTTGCATTCTCTCAAAATTCACGTGTGGAAGTCCTAATTCCCAGGGTGATGGTACTAGGTGTTCCTAATTCCCAGGGTGATGGTACTAGGTGGTCCTAATTCCCAGGATGGTGGTGGTACTAGGTGGGGCCTTTGGATGGCATATGAGGTCAGGAGGGTGGGGCCCCCTTGATGGGATTAGCATTTTTATAACAAAAGGAAGATACGTCAGAGATTCCTCTTTCTACCATAAGAGAATATGGCAAGAAGGTAGTTGTCTGCAAGCCAGGAGGAAGGCCCTCACCAGTAACTGAATCTGTTGATACCTTGATCTTGGACTTCCTAGTCGCCAGAACAGTGAGAAATACTGTCTATTCTTTAAGCCACCCAGTCTACAGTATTTTATTATGGCAGCCCAAGCTGCCTAAGACAATATTATGAATGGGATTTCCACCCTCAATATGTTTTCTAATTTAGCTAATGTGATTGCCTAGGGTTTAAGTTTTCCACCTGATTCTTTTGTGATTGATTCCTCATCATGGGTGCCAAGGATCATAGAGGTGGTGGCTTTTGATTCCTTTTTCCTATTCTTTTTATAGAGGAGAATGGAAGTACTAGAATAGATGAAGGATGGCCTCTCTGAAATAGTTGTCCTTCCACTGATGAAATATGTATGATGACATGTTGCCTAGCAATGGCCACCAGCTCTGCCTGCATATACAAGAGGAAAACTCAAGGGGGCATTTCCCTTGGAGATGCAACAAAGAGAAAAATCAGCTTAACGAACGCAGCGTCTGCTTCCTTGATGAAATTCCTCTTAGTTTCATGCAAAGAAAATGTTTGCTGGTGAAATGGTCGCCTTGGCTAGAATAATTTAACAGCTAGGTGAGGGTGGAGCAGGAGGGAGGCTCTAAAGAGATAAAAGCAGACAGATTGTCAGGAAGCACTTACCTATCATGTAACAAAATATTTTACTTTTTGTCACTGTCTGCTGATGTGTATCCTGACAGCACTGTCCTTGTTCCTATCCTCTTTCCCGATTGTGGCTGTGAAACTAGTGGGCTCGTTAAAGTAAAACAGGCTTCCTGGGTCGAGGTCCCTGAATTCAGGAGCTATTTCTTTTTTCAGGTGTGTTGACTTCCAGGCATTAATTAGAACATTCCGCAAAGGAGAGGGACTACAATGTGTTATGTTAGAAGGTAATTCTTTTATGAGAAGGGTATTCAAAGAGTATATATGCCTCCTTGGAAGTCATTTTTTTCTTCCCTGGGTTATCATCAAACCACAGAATGCCTAACTAGAAGGAACTGTAAAATCATTACTATAAGGCTCAACTCTTTCTCTCCTCTTTCTTTTTTCTTCCTTTCCTTTCCTTTCTTTTTACTTTTTCCCTCCCTCCCTCCCTTCCTTTCTTCCTTCCTTCCTCCCTCTCTCCCTCCCTCCCTCCCTCTCTCTCTCATCTTTTTTTTCTTCTCTTGCTGTCTCCTCTCTTTCTCACCCCACCCCACCACCATGTAATCACCAGGGACATTCTTCCCTCTCTCCAAAAACCCCATATTTTGAAACTAGAACCATCGCATTGAGGAAATATAATTTCAGGTAAAAGCAAAGAAATTTAACATCTTCATCAGCGTGTGCAGCCTTAACGCAAGTGTGTGATTTCTACTAAACATTTTGTGATATTGAAAGGCTGTCAGTGATCTCATAATTCCCTTTGTGGATGTCAAGGAACAAAGCATCCCGAATTAGAAATCAAGCATCTAATCTATCCTCCTCATTTTCCAGATGAGGAAGGTAAGCTCCCCAAACTAAATTACCCCAAAGCGTGTATGAGGACTAAGAAGGGAAGCGGGGCAGCCTCATGGACATGTGATCAGAGGAGTGGATCTCTGCTGTGAATGCGCATTGAGACCATCTGACGAGCTTCTAAAACTACAGACAACTGGATCCAGAGATTCTGACAGAGCTGGTCTGGGTTGGGGCTGGGGAATCTGATTCTAATGTGTGGCTGAGGTTAGAAAGATTACAAATGCGTTCAAACCTTGAGTCACTGAAGAGTGATCTTCTTTTAAGAGCTCTGTTCTCCCCTGTCCCTGCCCCATTCAATTTGCCTTGCGAATAGAAGGAAGGCTTCACTTGAGCAATGATGAGAGCTCAAGCTGGGCTTTCATAGGAAGGGAGGAAATGCTAGTGGTTTATGGGAGCCACACTAAAGACTGTGCAGAGACCTTTTGAATAGAAGCAGCAGCATACCTGTGGCCAGGAGGGGTGGAACAAAGGGAATCACAAGCTGTCCAACACTGGACACATTGCAAAAATCTTCAATGGCCAATTTACTCATTCTTCAAAATGGGTCTTAGCACATACAGATATTGCTAGATAAGAATCGTAGGGAATGGGGGAGATGGTGGCAGCCTGGGGACTGTGTGCTTTTCCTGGAGAGGGGGGCTCATTATTTTCCTGTAAGAATAGGAGCTCGGTATTGGAAGATGTCCTAATTCTTCTGGGTAAGCCAGAAATCCAGGTTTTATGTAAAATCTCCTGAGTTTTAAAGTTTGGAAACACATCCAAATGTTTTAAATGCACTGCTGGGACAGTGTCACAGGGATGGCACTCAGCTCTGGGAAAAGCAACCGTTTGTGATTTCTGACCCACCTTATTTCCCAGGTCCCTTCCAGATCTGACTTCCTAGGAATCCTTGAT